GCACATTTTATGGAGGACTGTTTACTGATCCTGGGAGAGTAACGTTAGACTACAATGCCGGCAGTTCTGACTCACGTAAGTACGTTTTCATTTAAAGAATTTGCCACTGATGATTCAAACGTGAGTTTTGAGCAGTGTAGAGTAGCACTTGTTGTTTGTCATTTCTCCGATCACAAAAGCAGACAGAGTTTTATGTTTACACGGCGCGATGCAATGCAACGCAATGCGTAAAAAGACAGTATAAGTCATTATAATCAGTAATTATGTCCCCACTGGATGCAACAAATGCCTAGTTTGTAATGGGTTTTATGTTTTTGCCTCGTCGCTCCGGCATCAACAGTATGGTGAGGGGCGTAACAATTCCGACTCACGCTTGAGGTATTCGGCCAATCACAACGCATTGGATAGCTGGCCAATCACAGCACACCTCGCTTTTTCAGACCGATGAGCTTTGTAAAAATCGATGCGTTTCAAAAAGGCAGGGCATAGAGGAGAAACAATAATGTACAGTATGTGGAAAATAATGTTTTTTTTTTTACTTTAAACCGCATAAACATTTCATTACACCAAATAATGTTCTTTTTAGCAGCATCATATGACCCCTTTAATAGTGGTGCAGAAAATGGCTAGTAATATCATACTTTTTATTCATATTTGTGAGGCATATAATAGTCAGGGAGGGTACTGTCAAGCTTAACAACTTAAAATTAAGATGGAAAATACTTATTTTTCAGCATTTTATTTTAATCCATAAGTATATGTACTTATTGTATCGCTGACATATGGTCTAATATCCTAACTACATGAATAGCAGTGGCCATTTTCAGTGAAAAACAACAACCCTGTCACAAATATACAGTGGTGGCCAAAATTATTAGAACACTATATTCACCAGCTAAAAACTGACAGCAGCCAGTGCTCCACACAAAGATCTAATCTGCATCCAGTCTGTCTGGAATGACATGAAAAAACAATAAACTGAGACAGACTCAATCCAGAAGAAATGTGGCAGCGTCTCCAAGATGCTTCAAGAGACCTACCTGCAAAGCTACAGTACTGTGAAAAGTTTTAGGCACTTGTGTAAAAATGCTGTAACATGAGGATGCTGTCAAATCTAATGTCATACAGTTTTTCTTTCAGTTAACTTCTATTAACTAAATTAAATCAGCATTTGGTGTGAGCATCCTTTGTGTTTAAAGCAGTTTTTGACCTCGGTGCACTTGCACATAGTTTTTCAGGTAGATTTGCAGGTAGGTCTCTTGAAGCATCTTGGAGACGTTGCCACAGTTTCCTACTGACACATTACAGCAAAAATAGAAATAACTGACTTAACCAGTTTTAGCTGGTGAAAATACTAGTGTTCTAATAATTTTAGCAACCACTGTATGTATTTCTCATTGTTGGGGTTTATAAACTTGTGATGGGGTTGAGTTACTTCATTTATTAATAATTTTAATGAAAATAAAAATAGTCATGTTTCAGTAAATATATACTTACCAAAATCATGACAACTCATATTTGTTATAAATAGTATTTTTGATTATGTCCACTTAAACTTTGACAAGCATCCTACAACAGAAATTTCACCAAAATTTGCATCAGAAAGACAATGTTGTGCATGCAGATATTTTGACCCAGAAATAAGAGGACAATATGAGAGAGAAACAAAACCAAAAATTTAAATTGAAGGCAATGTACACCTTCAAATGCGTTACAGTCTTCAAACCCATCACACCTTGTCACATTAATATTTTTGGAAAAATATAGGGAAGACAATTAAGAATGAAAGCATTTCTTGCTGAATACTATCTGACATGTTAAGGACTAAAACAGTAAAATTGTGGTTTTAGTTAAACTTCTAAAATAAAGAGACCATAGACACAATTTGTGTACTTTTAGCTTCAGTCCTGTAAAAATTTGAAAAATATGATAAATGTTACATTTGTTATCATTAAATTGTTATCAGGGACACATGAGCAGTAAGTAGATGTTTGTTTTATAACAAGTTCTGTGTAAAATCCTTTTTAAACCAATCCCATTTTGTTTGTTTTGGGGTTGAGTAAAAAGTTGTCGGAATCTGAAAAAAAAAAAAAGGTTGTTAATGCATGTGGTGGGAAAATATGATTTTTCGGAGGTCTGACGTGTGCTTAATGATGTTGGGTATTTAGAAAATGAATCATGTAGTTGAAAAAAAAAATTATATTCCATGTTGAAATGTGCTCATTGAAGGATTTCAGAGGATACAACACTTTGCTCCTGTGATTCTTTGCACAGGTTTAATTTGATTTGTTTGGCATGAACGAATGGCTGTGAGAGGTTTGGAATACGTAATAAATGAAGCCTATCTTAAAGGATATTGGGTTACAGTTTGCTGGCATGAAATAGTTGGGAAATACATTTTATTTTTAACAAATCCTAATTTTTAGTGTTGTCATATTCCATTCGCTGCCAGACTGCCATTATTAGCTTCAGGGCCATTTATATAAAATCCATTTATACACATTCTAAGAGTTGAAGTCATATTTGTCTTACCATAGACAGTAACATTGAATGTCTTGTCAGAGTTCTCTCTGTCGCTCCGGATCTGTCGTTTATAAAGTCCAGCGTCTGTGCTTCTGAGGTTTCTGATGGTCAGAGATCCAGTGAAAGAATCCAACTGCAGTCGGTCTCCAAATGTCCCATTACTGCTAAACATATCAATGCTGTGCATATAGAGTTCAGCCATACGAGTCTCTTTAGGTCCAAACATCCACAGTATCTGATCATCTCTCTGTACTTCAGTAACATCAGTGTTTAGAGTGACAGAATCTCCCTCAGTCACTGATACTGACTTCATTACATCTGTATCACCACCAAACACACCTGCAGAAGAAATAAAAACACATTATTATCATCAGAGACTTATAATCTCATTTCCTCAAACATAATCATTCACCCCTAAAAGGTAAAATGTGTATTTGTTTTTTTATTTTGTTTCTTTTGTGGAAATGCACTTGTGTTTATGCACCACATTTATGATTAAAAGTATTAAAGTTTCTCACCGCATAGAACAAACAGGATCGGAGCACACAGATGAGAGGACATCGTGATACAGACGTCCAGCCGAGAGTCACTTCAGACAAAGAAGAGCGACTTCCTGAACAAAAGTACAGCCATTTCCTAAACAAAGACTGTTAAATGAAAAGTGAACTGGTTTTAGTGGTCTTTGTTCTCTTTTCATTTCTGACTGCACTCTCTGGACAAAGTTTAATGCGTTCTTTATCTTCTTAAACCGCATTAACCTCTCAACACCATTCTCGATTGCTCTTCATCAGAAAACTCTCATTTCAGGTCATTTCTAAGTCTAACAGGCTTTCAGAGGGTTAATTTGTGGCTGAAAGAATAAACTTCAACATCTCACACTCTCATGAACACACACTGTCTAACATTGCGTGCATTAAACCACATGCATTCAGCTCAGACGCCACATTTACTGACCTTAATAACTAATGATCTGACTCGAAAACATCAACATGTTCTGGTTCACACGCACACAATATCATGACAAACTGCTTTCAATTGTCTTGAAACGTAAGTGAGTGAAATAAAACAGATTATTCTTCTAAATGAGAAAATACTGAACAAACGGTAATGCTTTAGATAAGGGAACACGTACTCACTATTAACTAAAAGTTCCCCCTCAGACTCCTAATTTGCTGCTTAACCGTAAGGTAGTTGTTGTAGTAGTTAGGTTTAGGTATGGAGTAAGGGATTTACAATATGATAATGCAGAATAAGGCATTCATATGTGCTTTATAAGTACTAAAAACAGACAATATGCTAGAAACAGGCATACTAATAAACAAATAGTTAATACACATCCAGACAGGTAATCAAACATTTATATTTTAAATTTTAAACACCCTTGTGTCAACGATTGTGTCAAGAAAAACAATTTCATGTTTTAGTATGTACAAACCCAATTCCAAAAAAGTTGGGACACTGTACAAATTGTGAGTAAAAAAGGAATGGAATAATTTACAAATCTCATAAACGTATATTTTATTCACAATAGAATATAGATAACATATCAAATGTTGAAAGTGAGACATTTTGAAATGTCATGCCAAATATTGGCTCATTTTGGATTTCATGAGAGCTACACATTCCAAAAACGTTGGGACAGGTAGCAATAAGAGGCCGGAAAAGTTAAATGTACATATAAGGAACAGCTGGAGGACCAATTTGCAACTTATTAGGCCAATTGGCAACATGATTGGGTATAAAAAGAGCCTCTCAGAGTGGCAGTGTCTCTCAGAAGTCAAGATGGGCAGAGGATCACCAATTCCCCCAATGCTGCGGCGAAAAATAGTAGAGCAATATCAGAAAGGAGTTTCTCAAAGAAAAATTGCAAAGAGTTTGAAGTTATCATCATCTACAGTGCATAATATCATCCAAAGATTCAGAGAATCTGGAACAATCTCTGTGCGTAAGGGTAAAGGCCGGAAAACCATACTGGATGCCCGTGATCTTCGGGCCCTTAGACGGCACTGCATCACATACAGGAATGCTACTGTAATGGAAATCACAACATGGGCTCAGGAATACTTCCAGAAAACATCGTCGGTGAACACAATCCACCGTGCCATTCGCCGTTGCCGGCAAAAACTCTATAGGTCAAAAAAGAAGCCATATCTAAACATGATCCAGAAGCGCAGGCGTTTTCTCTGGGCCAAGGCTCATTTAAAATGGACTGTGGCAAAGTGGAAAACTGTTCTGTGGTCAGACGAATCAAAATTTGAAGTTCTTTTTGGAAAACTGGGACGCCATGTCATCCGGACTAAAGAGGACAAGGACAACCCAAGTTGTTATCAGCGCTCAGTTCAGAAGCCTGCATCTCTGATGGTATGGGGTTGCATGAGTGCGTGTGGCATGGGCAGCTTACACATCTGGAAAGGCACCATCAATGCTGAAAGGTATATCCAAGTTCTAGAACAACATATGCTCCCATCCAGACGTCGTCTCTTTCAGGGAAGACCTTGCATTTTCCAACATGACAATGCCAGACCACATACTGCATCAATTACAACATCATGGCTGCGTAGAAGGATCCGGGTACTGAAAGGGCCAGCCTGCAGTCCAGATCTTTCACCCATAGAAAACATTTGGCGCATCATAAAGAGGAAGATGCGACAAAGAAGACCTAAGACAGTTGAGCAACTAGAAGCCTGTATTAGACAAGAATGGGACAACATTCCTATTCCTAAACTTGAGCAACTTGTCTCCTCAGTCCCCAGACGTTTGCAGACTGTTATAAAAAGAAGAGGGGATGCCACACAGTGGTAAACATGGCCTTGTCCCAACTTTTTTGAGATGTGTTGATGCCATGAAATTTAAAATCAACTTATTTTCTCAGTTTAAACATTTGATATGTCATCTGTTGTATTCTGAATAAAATACTGGAATTTGAAACTTCCACATCATTGCATTCCCTTTTTATTCACAATTTGTACAGTGTCCCAACTTTTTTGGAAATCGGGATTATAGTAAGTGGGCAGATTCATCTACAATGAACTACATCTTGAACATGTTTCGGTTTTATAAACATTATTGATATCAAATAATATAATTAAATAGTATATATTATAACTATTTTTTTATTTCTATAACTCTTCAACCATGTTCAACTGCATAGTTTTTGCTTTAGACATTTAGCAGTTTATTACTACCATTTCATCAAAGTGAATGAGTATGTGAATGAAAAATTGTATTTATAATAATTCATGTTGCAGTCGAGCTGAACACAGCAGTGAACAATTCTGGCCTGATGATCTTTTGGATACTGAAGGGTTTCGAGGAAAAACACTGATGACTCGAACAGTCAGAAGAGCTAAGAAACAAAATACAATTCAGGAAACAATCAATTATTGAAAAATATTTGTGTAAAGATCCTTCGTTTTCATAGACAAATAAATAACAATTGTATGTCAAAACGCTCTGGACCGAATTCTATTCATGCACGGGCAATGTGGTATCTTGATGCAGCAGTTTTTGATATACAAAATTATATACATTTCTCATTATGAAAACTTTCACATTAAGCCAATTCCTGACACAGCCTTCACTATCCCACATAGACTGAACAAATCGTTTTATTAGTTCTATTGCTGTTTACTCATCATAGACAGCAAGATTGAAGCTCATGTGTTTGATCACTCCACTGATGATCTGTAGTTTATAAAGTCCAGAGTGTAATTTGTTGATGTTTGTGATGGTCAGAGATCCTGTCTGTTCATCTATCTTTAGTCTGCCTCTGAATATTTCATTATATTCTTTACGTCATATATATAGAGAGGATCTGATTGTAGATTACAGAAGATTCTCTGAATTTAAGCATAAACGTCCACATCTCTTTTTTTCAGTAACATCGGTGTGTAGAGTAACAGAATCTCCTTCCATCACTGATATTGTCTCGGCTAAACTTTGGATCAGGAGGCCCCTCTAGGCTGAACGCTGGAATAGGACACTAGAGGGCGCCTTCTAGGAGCAGGCACTGGAGGGCGCTCAGAACTGGATTCGGGGACTGGAGCCCACTCCTCTTCATTTTGGCACTTCTGCAGCGCCATACTCAGCTCACCCTCAGCCGCGGTGCAGTGGGCGGAGCTCCTCTCCGCGCTCACACCATCCGTGGCTTTCTCCCTCGTGGCAGGCGTTGTTGCCGGCTCACACACGGCGATCCTCAGCTCTGTCGCTCTCTCTGGCGATGGCTCGTCGGTCGCGGCGGGCTCTGGCTCTCCGTCAGTGGTGGGCTCGGGCATGCGCTCCATGCATCGGGGAGATGGTGGGCTGGGCTCTGAGCATATACACACACTGCTCTAAATCTTCATTCTGTTAATGGTTTTTAATATCATTTCCTTAAGCTTGACAGACAGAAAGGTAAAAAAATGTAAATGTTTGCCAATACAAAATGTAGAGTATTTAGTAATTTAAAAAATGTGCTGAAATGTTACTTACCGCACAGGATAAACAAGAGGAGAGCGCACAGATGAGAGAACATCATGCTGGTTCTGGAAACTCTCATTTCAGATATATATCACAGGTTTGAGTCTAACAGGTTCTCAGAATAATTATTTGTGGTTGTGAGAAGAAACTGGCCCCCGGCCTCACACTCTCAAGAACACACAAACACACACCGTCTATCATTGTGTGCATTATCTGAACATCCTCTCAGCATTTCAAACCGCATGCATTCAGAAAGAAAGAAAGATTTAGAAAGAAAACAGGTAGAAAATGTGCCTGATGTATAGCTTAACATGAGTGACAGAATTCAGTAACATTGAGACGTTTAGTCTGGTTGCTAATTGAGAATCACTGCAACAACTGAAATGGCTAGAGGAGCTGAAAAACATGAGGAAAGACCACTAATACTGATAAAGATTGTTAGTGTTTGTATATAGCAGACATTTATTAGTTTTGTTGTCCACTGGGTGGCACTGTGTTAATTTGAAACTAATACAACTCAAGCACATTTATCTTTTTAATGTATAGTTGTAACCATTTGTATTACCAGTTTCTTTAGTGTAATTTGACTGATATTCATAATTATGACAAAAAAGTGCTGCATCATTTTTGTTCTCTTGATCTTCATTGCATAGTGTGCTTATATGTCACAGCCATCAGATATCTGTTCACATTCTGAAGTGATTTATGTTACAGACAGAGAAAAATGTCAAAACAAACTCATCAGACAGACAAACATAAACACATTTAAGAAATAGGCCTACTCTCTTTCTTTCTCTAAAAATGAGCTGAGATGAGGCCTAGATGAACAAAGTCGTCAATCACAAATGTAAACTAAAATCTGTTGTATTGATTGTGAAATCAGTGACCTGCAGCTGATCTCTCATCTGAAGCGAGTAGATGATCTGTGTGTCTGAAGTGCTTTTCTCATCTACAAACATAAAAGTTGATTCAGTATGGCTTGTCATTTAATATGATAAACAACATTTAGTATAAAAACAGCAAATAACTAAAAACAGTGAACAAAGTTCATGGAAATGGCAGGTTCAATTACCTTTAATTCAACTGAACTGTGGCTTACAAATCTCTACACATTTCTTTTGTAATCCATCTCTGTGAAATCTGTGTCTTGTAATGCACACACACACACCATTCGCTACTTCTGATGGAATACAAATAGCCTGGACATAGATGGTTGGTTTATACTTCCATTTTTTATTCTTATTTATATTTTGATTCTTTTCATTTCATTGTTCATAAGTTTGTATGGTTTAAGAACAATAAAAGTAAATTAAGTAACTTTACAATTTGATAGATTGATAGTTAAACAACATAAATGCTTAATTTTTAAATTCATACAAAAAATAAATAAATAAATAAACAAGGCTAACTGATTTACTTTAGATTTGAGGCAGATCTGCATCTCGTGCCACAGAACAATTCAGAAAGAGTCCAAATGATGTCATTTACTCCACTTCTGGACTCAGAGGAAGACCATGAGGGTTTAGGGTGCCATTTGGGACAGGGCCTCTCTTGTGCAAGACGCCAGTGCAATGGTGATAGATGTCCCTCTAGAAAATGTGATAAATATGCGTTCTGTGTGAACGGCTTGGTTTCAGTTTTGACGTAAACAACATCATCTCCGCATTGATGTTCTCTTTTTCCACAATATTTTGAATGAACAACGTAGCAGCGCAGCAACTAGTGGGTTCAACTGGATAGGCTAACAAAAGCATTAAAATGCAATGACACTTACATCGTCGTCGCATCTCGTGCACCACTGATAAGGCTGCCTGATGCACGCCTAAAATTCGAATGCAGCGGTTTTGTATTCAAATGTGGATTTTTATTTTAAATTCGACGAATATTCGAAATTCGATTTTTTTTGACAGCCCTAATGTGCAGACATTTTTTTCCATTGGGTATTCTGCTGTTTGTCCGTCTTTGACATCTTTTATGAGTATGGTGTTTTACTGAACTTTTAAAGAGGTGCGTAAATGTAAATGACGTTTGATATTGGAAACACAAATAACATGTCATTTAGTAATGAGAAGCACTTTATGTATAGGCCTAATTAAAGAAGAGTAGCCTAACATGGTCACTGATTGGCCTAAAACACTCAAAACAAGCACTACAAAATAACAAAATACACAAATTACATGCACTACATACTTAATGGCATTTAATGATTTGTAGTTTAGATTACATTTTCATGAACTCATCTCTATTTGGTTTTTATAAGGTGTCATTGTTACGTATCTACATGCTATGGCTGTGCTCTCGTGATATTTACATAATTTTGACCAGCAAGTGTCGCCAGAGCACGGTGATATGAGCACTTCGAAGCAAACGTTCCTATCAATAAGAAATTTCGATCAGCTTCGTCTCTGCTATTAATATTATGCACAGTGTTTAGAGTTCTGAATGATGGATTGGTTTTGCTTTGACTGTTACTGGTATTTAACTCCTTTGTGTTGTGGCCACAATGTTTTGCAATGCATCTCTGTAAAATAGTTTTGACAGTAGAATCACAATGTAAATACTTCATAAAATACTAAACCAGACCTAAGCAATATGTCAAACATAATCCTGTGAGTTTCACATAAATATTCTGCGCAGTTCTCCAGCATGAAAAGCATGTGCCTGCCAGAGAATGCCAAGTAGGCCTATATGTTGCTGCAGCTTGGGTATCCTCCAAATGGAAGAGGCCTTTGCCACATGTAGGCGGAGACCCTCAAGTTAGTGGGGTCAAATTTACAGGTGGGGTTAGGTATGACCTTCAGTGCAAGCCATTTGTAGTCGTCTATAGTCCTACCCATTTGGAGCTGCTCCACCCACTCTGAGTCTGAACCTCAACATGTTCCCGCCTAAAGTCCCCGCCAAAAGAGAAAAAGAGAAAAGCCAAACGTGTGGAAACATGTCCTGTCAGACAGGAAAACAGTAACTGCTAGTTATAGATTAAAACAAGCACCAGGTTTAAATGTGTTAACTTGATGTAAGAATTCAATTCATTATTTCTGTGGCTTGTAATGCTAAAAGCTTTCAGAGACTAGATTTGCTTTATGTTCCAGAATATACTCTGAAAAGTGATTAAATATTAAAAACCACTTAACTACTTAAAACTGCATAAAGCATAACATTCGTAACATAACATTATGTGAGAAGGGTGTTCCTGCACAACCGGAGGCTGCAGTTTCAGGACCGCATTTCTAGAACCCTGGTGGTTTAGTTTGTAGTAATGTTTGTACATTGTTGTTAAAGATTTTGAATCTCAGGAATATTTTTTTTTATTTCAATTGTGAGTTTTGATTTATAAATGCATCAGATGTTAATTACAAAGTGTGTAATACCTGCTTTGAGTTAACAATTTTAAATTTAAATGAATTTACACTGACCATGCCTTTCAAACATCAACCAGATTAATCTAAAGTACGGCCAAAAGGACAGGCTAATAACACATATTGTGGTGCAACCAAGCAATGAGCCCAGTTTAATTATGAAAGATGATTTACACTTAACTAATGAGTATCAAACAAGTATTGTATTTATGTACACTGATACAAAATTATGAAAAGAATACACACATTTTTTTAAGGTAAGTGGTTGCAAACAATTTATTTTATCTACATTTAAATAAAAAAATGTTGCAAGTTAGTCAACTAAATTTGTTTATTTAAATGTAGCTAAAATAAATTGATTGCAACCACTTACCTTAAAAAAATTTAGTAAATTCAATTAATCTTTTTTTTTGTGATTTACTATTGTTTATATATTTATGTGATTAGCTTTATTAGTTATAATAACCTATAGCCCTATACTCTTTACAAACGTTTTCTCCAAAAACATTATTTGAAAAAAAAAATAGAAACCATGGAGTAAGTTCACATTTCTTTTAAATATTTTGTGGTCAGCCATAGAAGTAGCCTAAGCCATATAGCTACATTAAATTAATTTCTGAGTTATTTGATTGAAACATTCTTTCGACATGAAAACATCGAGTTAAGCCAAAAAAGTTGTTTCAAGTCTGTTCAACATGATGCAGTCGTGTTTGAACGGGAAACCTGATATAATGGTGTTAAATCAAAACGAATTGTTTAAATAAATTGAACAGCATCAAAAATCTTTTTTTCTTTCTTTCAGTGAGCAGAGTTCTTTTTCGTTCCTGTAATAACACGACTCTTAAAAAGAGAAACAATTCTGTTGTACAGTTAAGTGATGGAACATTCAGTGAAATTATGACCCTGGTGGCTTTCAAGTGTGAGGATGGGGCATCTTCTGCATCCACCACAAACAGATTCTGTGTTTTAACTAAAGGCCGTGCGTGGAGGAAATTTTTTTAGAGATGTTCCGCTAAATATATCCTCAACATTTATATAGTGTCTCATAATGTATTTGCTGTCCATCCTCAATCCCTCAAGTGGAAATATGTAATTATTAGGTCTAAAGACAAACTGTATGTCATTCCACTTCCAAACAATATTGAAAGAGACTAAAAACTGATTCCTGGGGAACTACTTCTGCAGCTTTATACAGATATCAATGCCAATTGTTGTTTTTTCAGCTTTATTTCTCCATAAAATGTATAATGATATGTTATAATAATAAAATGATATAATATTAATGCAGAGTGAGTGAACTTGGCCACGCAATATAGACAGTGTTTACTTGACTGTACACTTTATAATCCATTCGCTTTATTTATTTGTTTTATTACTGTCTGAAAGCAATGTATGTCCAAGTAATGAAGTGAATTCCAAGCATGAAGAAGTAAACTTAAAATTACTCAAAAATGTGACTTTAAATATACAAACCCGATTCCAAAAAAGTTGGGACACTGTACAAATTGTGAATAAAAACAGAATGCAATGATGTGGAAGTTTCAAATTTCAATATTTTATTCAGAATACAACATAGATGACATATCAAATGTTTAAACTGAGAAAATGTATCATTTTAAGGGAAAAGTTGATTTTACATTTCATGGCATCAACACATCTCAAAAAAGTTGGGACAAGGCCATGTTTACCACTGTGTGGC